CGCATGTGACTAACGTACGAACAGATGGACGGAAGGCGGACGGACGGAGACCGATCCACAGTCCCCTCCCCGATTTTATTGTGGGGGACAATTAGTCCCTTGGGGACAGAACCACAACATAGAATGGATGCAATGTGATTTCAATGACACACAGTTGAAGTCGGAAATTTACATACACTATAGTTTTGGCAAGTCGGTTAGGGCATCTACTTCGTGCATGACACAAGTAATTGTTCCAACAATTGTTTACAGACAGATTATTTCACTTATAATTCACTGTATCACAATTCCAGTGGGTCAGAAGTTTACATACACTAAATTGACTGTGCCTTTAAACAGCTTGGAAAATTCCAGAAAATGATGTCATGGCTTTAGAAGATTCTGATAGGGTAATTGACATCATTTGAGTCAATTGGAGGTGTACCTGTGGATGTATTTCAAGGCCTACCTTCAAACTCAGTGCCTCTTTGCGTGACATCATGGGAAAATCAAAAGAAATCAACCAAGACCTCAGAATAAATTGTAGACCTCCACAAGTCTGGTTCATCCTTGGGAGAAATTTCCAAACGCCTGAAGGTACCACGTTCATCTGTACAAACAATAGTACGCAAGTATAAACACCATGGGACCACACAGCCGTCATACCGCTCAGGAAGAAGACGCGTTCTGTCTCCTAGAGATTAACGTACTTTGGTGCGAAAAGTGCAAATCAATCCCAGAACAACAGCAAAGGACCTTGTGAAGATGCTGGAGGAAGCAGGTACAAAAGTATCTATATCCACACTAAAACAAGTCCTATATCGACATAATCTGAAAGGCCGCTCAGCAAAGAAGAAGCCACTGCTCCAAAACCGCCATAAAAAAGCCAGACTACGGTTTGCAACTGCACATGGGGACAAAGATCGTACTTTTTGGAGAAATGTCCTCTGGTCTGATGAAACAAAAATAGAACTGTTTGGCCATAATGACCATCGTTATGTTTGGAGGAAAAAGGGGAATGCTTGCAAGCCGAAGAACACCATCCCAACCGTGAAGCACGGGGGTGGCAGCATCATGCTGTGGGGGTGCTTTGCAAAATAGATGGCATCATGAGGAAGGAACATTATGTGGATATATTGAAGCAACATCTCAAGACATCAGTCAGGAAGTTAAAGCTTGGTCGTAAATGGGTCTTCCAAATGGACAATGACCCCAAGCATACTTCCAAAGTTGTGGCAACATGGCTTAAGGACAACAAAGTCAAGATATTGGAGTGGCCATCACAGAGCCCTGACCTCAATCCTATAGAAAATTTGAGGGCAGAACTGTAAAATCGTGTGCGAGCAAGGAGGCCTAGAAACCTGACTCGGTTGTACCAGCTCTGTCAGGAGGAATGGGCCAAAATTCACCCAACTTATTGTGGGAAGCTTGTGGAAGGCTACCCGAAAAGTTTGACCCAAGTTAAACAATTTAAAGGCAATGCTACCAAATACTAATTGAGTGTATGTACACTTCTGACCCACTGGGAATGTGATGAAAGAAATAAAAGCTGAAATATATAATTCTCTCTACTATTATTCTGACATTTCACATTCTTAAAATAAAGTGGTGATCCTAACTGACCTAAGACAGGGAATTTTTACTAGGATTACATTTCAGGAATTGTGAAAAACGAAGTATAAAATGTATTTGGCTAAGGTGTATGTAAACTTCCGACTTCAACTGTAGGTGTTACATGTCAGTCATTTCTGACCTGTGTGTGTTCCTTGGTGTTTCTCCTACATTTTACCTTGAGTTTGCTCTAGACGTGTATGTGCTCATGTTTGTCTAGGGTCATTACGTCCTACTGTATGTGTAGAAGCATCATTCACGCTTAGACAGTCAAGCTTCAGTCAGATAGTCTTTCCCCCAAAGATTTTGAACTACTGAACTTCACCATTAACACTTCATTTATCATACTGACAGAGGCAATGTTACCTTAACATCAAATTGAGGCTAACACCATCACTGGAGTGTTGAGAGTTCAAAGCTTGTGTTTTGAGGAAAGCATTTGGAAATCAAACTATTTTTAAAATGGTGTCACATTTCTTCAGCGCTAACTTAAGCCTCTTAGCTTTGGGTGCCTTAAAGCGACATGCAGCATATGTTTTACATGTCCTCTAGTGCTGTATAATTATTGCTCCTCTTAATGTAAACGTTTAGGATGTGGTTTAGTTGTCAGACTGACCAGTTGTCATCTGTGGGGGTTAGCTTCTCTGTTGGTTTTGGAATACAGTAGTATGGGGTCCAATACCTGGCCACAGTAGACCTAAATAATGGATAAGCTGTTATGAATAAATCAGAAACATGGATGGATGCAGGCTGGATGGATGCTCTGGCAGTGATGGTGATGGCATCATGTGACTGTGGATCTCTCTCTGGGTCCCCCAAAAGAGCCTTTGTGTTCCTAACATCTCAGTGTTTTTGTAACAACCGGAGAAATGTCTTCCGAGGAGAGGGAGCTTTTCTGTGTACCAGTCTCTTTGCATCAATGTCAGGCAGAGCGTGCTGTGCTCGCTGCTCAGTGTGTTTGTCTCTCCCTCTCTCTGTTTTTCTGCCTGTGAGTCTGCACCACTGTGGAAGAGAGCAAGGGAGAGGTGGGATGTTGTCATGGTAACGGTGTCACGGCTGATTGGTCTTGCAGCAGCAGTGACTGACCCAGTGGAACACGGAGCAGGAGAGAAGATAGGGGTGTGTGTCATGGAGTTGGCTAGCTAGAGATGGGAGGGGTGGTTGTGGGCATGGGTTTATGGAGGAGGAGGGGGCTTTAAGTGCAGGCTCTCCCCCTCAGGGAAGCACTGTAGCTCAGCCTGGACACAGCTCAAACAGCCCCTCTCTCTCAGTCCTCCTGGCCCTAGTGCTGCCTAGCTGTAATGTTTATTAAGTGTTGCTGCAACGCTCTCCCAGTGTTACTATCTCTAATGGGCCTGCCACTTGATGATATTCTGATATTGCCCCAATAAGGAAAAGCGATTGATCATGGAAGCTTGATTGTGTCCCCAGGGAGATCCTCCCCAGGGCACAAAATATAAAAATAAAATGTAACACTTAGTCATAATTTCCCTGCTCCTATATTTAAAACAATGTTTTCCATCGAAAAAGCCTGGTGTCTGATAGTAGTGGTATTTTCGAGGAACGTGCGTTACTGCTCTTGAAATATGTCAAAGCTGCAAGTCTAACAGTCCTCCGTCTCCAATATAGGTCACCTGTCTAACAAAATGTGCTGTACCTTCAGATGGTTGGCCTTCACACAGTCATGCACCCAGCTTCCCAGCATTATACTACACAGAGGGAGAATGAGATGGCACTAAGTTAAACACACAGTGTAATACATAAACACTGCTTGCTGTAGCCTGACAGTGCCCTGAAAATAACACCAGAGAACCTAAAAAGGGAACAGTATGGAATTTCAGTCATGCTGTGATTCACACCAGGTATGAGAGCTAATATTGAATGACAATGCAATGTGCCTTTAAAAAAAAAAAAAGACTTTGCCTCCTAATCGGAAGGGCCAGCTTGTCTGAGGAGGGGAGGATATGCTCGCCCCACTGCACTGTGGGCACACTGCCCCACAGTCTGTTAGCGTTCTCATTGGCTTTAGCTTAGCCCCTGTGTCCATCTCTGTCTACTGCCACACATCACATCCGACACCAGCCCATTTTCTCCTTCATATCTCCTTCAACATTCCTACATGCATCCATGCAGATACTAAATGCTCGAATCACACATGGAATTGAAGCTAGAGCCCCTCATAAGGGCATCTGTCCATTTGATGGACAGGTTTCTTTCCCTTCATCCTTTATGCATAATCACATCCAGCATACGCCTGGTTTTCTGCTGTAGATAGAGTTGTTGCTTGAGGGCAGTGGGGGAGGAGAGAGAGATGCTGGAGAAAGCTACTATCTACTTGCCTGACGACTCAAACTGTGTTCGCTACATACTTCAGTCTGAGACTGCCATCGTTGAAGGCGTTTGTGGTGATGTCAAAATGAAGGTTGTTGGACAAAACAAAGTCATCAGCGATTGGATCATCTCTAACAAATCAAAGTATCAAAGCCAATGACGAATTTTCAAAACGCTGCTTTACCCACGTGAATTCTGGCTCTGGAAAAGAAACTAACGTCCGTGGGCGTGGCATAGTGTTTGGCCGGAGCAAGGAGTTTGGGTAGCCAGGCAACCTATCTGCTATCTTCAGTCTCCAGCCATTTGAGATGAGCTTGCCTCGTGTGTCTTTCTCGCATTATATGTGTGGACATGTGAAAAACAGGGATTTACAATTCTGTGTGCATACTACGAGCAGTCGCGTGCAGTGTGTGGGCAACCCTGTGGCCCAGTGGCCACAACAGCTGCCTGCCCCTCCACCCCTCACCCCCCTTCCCCCTTAACCAGAGGGTAGAGCGTGACGTAACCCCTCCTATCCCACGCTCCGCCAGCCCAGCGAGCACATTACATGCCAGAGGTCATTAGTCGCTCCTCGTTAGCATCTCAGCCAGTAGCCCTACACACAGTCAAACTGCAGCACGTTTCTTCTCTTCCGGAACTGGAACATTCTAGTGTGACTGGCATCACAACAGTGCAGAGGTTAGGCCTAGTCTCCAGATGTTCCTGGTTAGTGTTATGTTGAGCTTTAATCTGAGAAAGCACTTTAATCTGAGTGTGCCTGACACGCACTGGAGTCTAGATTAGGACGAAGGCCCATTTATCATTGTACCATGCTATTGTGGAATCTACCACTGTTGTTCACACAGGCTTCATACTGTGTACTATCCAGGAATACAAACTAGGGTACTAATCCTTCTCTTGATTGTAGCTGCCCATCACATCAGTCAACTCTGCCCTGTGGATGACCAGGACCGGAGTGCGTGTGGCCCTCTACTTTGTTATGTTAGCGTTTGAACAGCTGTTGGTTTGCAGGCTCACGTGGACCCCTGTGCAGTAGGCTAGTGTGGAGTGGTGGAGGCGGCACAGGGAAGGTCTGATTCATGCTGCTCACCCTGCGCTTTGCTCTGCTGCGGCCACCGGAGAGGCCAGCCATGGCTAATATGATCAGATGTTGTCAGACTCACAACCACAGAACGAACATCACTGGCCACACCACTGAGACGGAGAGGAGGGGATCCTCTGGAGTGTCAGACTTCATTGGTGATGTGATTTTTGGTGTCTTAAAACTAGACACTGATCATGTGTTCATGCTATGGCAAATCTCTCTCCCCTTTTGCTGTAAGTCTTGAGGAAGTCTTGGTTTTTGCAGGCAGAATTCAATAGGCCATAATCAGGGCAGTTAGCCAGCGCACATACAGGGTGAAGCTGGTTTCTATTTGGATATTGTTATGGCAGATTTATCCAGGCTGTGCAAGTAAACCTGTATACCCAAGGCTATAAAACATGTTCCTCTGAAGTTGCCGGCATCTAACAGTTGGGAGTTACATCTATTTACAAAGCTTGTGATGACAAAACAGTTGACGGTGCGTCACCGATGGTCGCGCCATGCCCCTGCAGCAAATGGGGAGAGAGAGAAACCGAGACGGAGAGAGAGGGAGACAGAGAGAGAAACAAAGAACGAGAGAGCCAAACCTTAATTTAGACCAAAAACACAGAGGATAAGCAGGAAGGAACAATTAGTCAAATCCCAAACCTTAACTGGCAAAACCCTAGCAGGCTTTTAGTTTTGGAGTGTTCTTCTGCTCCGTGGTCTTTATTGTGTTTGTATAGTGCAGCTCACACAAGGCCAGACCAAGCCCCTCTCAGCCTGCCCCTCTCAGCCTGCCCCTCTCAGCCTGCCCCTCTCAGCCTGCCCCTCTCAGCCTGTCCCTCTCTCAGCCTGTCCCTCTCTCTCCCTGTCCCTCTCTCTCCCTGTCCCTCTCTCTCCCTGTCCCTCTTTCTCCCTGTCCCTCAATTCAATTTCAATTTAATTCAATTTAAGGTATTTATTGGCATTGGAAACATATGTTAACATTGCCAATGCAAGTGAAGTAGATAGTAAACAAAAGTGAAATAAACAATACAAATTAACAGTAAACATTACACTCAGAAGTTCCAAAAGAATAAAGACATTTCAGATGTCATGTTATGTATATATACAGTGCTGTAACAATGTGCAAATAGTTAAAGTACAAATGGGAAAATAAATAAACATAAATATGGGTTGTATTTACAATGGTGATTGTTCTTCACCGGTTGCCCTTTTCTTGTGGCAACAGGTCACAAATCTTTCTGCTGTGATGGCACACTGTGGTATTTCACCCAGTAGATAAGGGAGTTTATCAAAATTGGGTTTGTTTTCGAATTCTTTGTGGATCTGTGTAATCTGAGGGAAATATGTGTCTCTAATATGGTCATTCATTTGGCAGGAGGTTAGGAAGTGCAGCTCAGTTTCCACCTCATTTTGTGGGCAGTGTGCACATAGCCTGTCTTCTCTTGAGAGCCAGGTCTGCTTTCGGTGGCCTTTCTCAATAGCAAGGCTATGCTCACTGAGTCTGTACATAGTCAAAGCTTTCCTTAAGTTTGGGTCAGTCACAGTGGTCAGGTATTCTGCCACTGTGTACTCTCTGTTTAGGGCCAAATAGCATTCTAGTTTGCTCAGTTTTTTTTGTTAATTCTTTCTTATGTGTCAAGTAATTCTCTTTTTGTTTTCTCATGATTTGGTTGGGTCTAATTGTGTTGTTGTTGTCCTGGGGCTCTGTGGGGTCTGTTTGTGTTTGTGAACAGAGCCCCTCTCTCTCTCCCTGCCTCTCTGTCCCAGTCTCTCTCTCCCTGCCTCTCTGTCCCAGTCTCTCTCTCCCTGCCTCTCTGTCCCGTCTCTCTCTTCCTGCCTCTCTGTCCCCGTCTCTCTCCCTGCCTCTCTGTCCTCGTCTCTCTCTCCCTGCCTCTCTGTCCTCGTCTCTCTCTCCCTGCCTCTCTGTCCCCGTCTCTCTCTCCCTGCCTCTCTGTCCCCGTCTCTCTCTCCCTGCCTCTGTCCCCGTCTCTCTCCCTGCCTCTCTGTCCCCGAAACTCTCTCTTCCTGCCTCTCTGTCCCCGTCTCTCTCTTCCTGCCTCTCTGTCCCCGTCTCTCTCCCTGCCTCTCTGTCCCCGTCTCTCTCTCCCTGCCTCTCTGTCCCCGAACTCTCTTCCTGCCTCTCTTTCCCCGTCTCTCTCTCCCTGCCTCTCTGTCCCCGTCTCTTTCTTCCTGCCTCTCTGTCCCTGTCTCTCTCTTCCTGCCTCTCTGTCCCCGTCTCTCTCTTCCTGCCTCTCTGTCCCCTTCTCTCTCTTCCTGCCTCTCTGTCCCCGTCTATCCAGAAAGGCAGGTGTTGTTTGGTTTCCCCCTGGCTCGGATCATAATTTTTTCTTTCTCCTCCTGCTTTCTTTCAGCTTTAGCTGTAACCTGTCTTTGCCAGTGTAGTCCTCTCTCTCTCTCTCTCTCTCTCTCTCTCTCTCAGTACCTTGAACAATTCAGCAGTAGACACCTGCTGATCTTTGTGTTAGTCAGAGGGGAGGGGCCCTGTAACCTTCCACTTACCCCCACCCTCACCCCGTCTCCATGATCCTGCCTCTAACGGCAGAATAAAGGCTCAGCTGGCTCCTCCTCCTCCAGGGAGTGACCCAACCTGGCACACAGTGTGTGGGTATTCTCCTGCCAGCTGTCGGCTGCTTCTAGGTGGCTGTAGCATGACTGGCACTCAGGGCATGTTGCAGGCTGGCATTGTTGCCACACCCTGGTACACAATTGTTGTTGACTGGCACAGAGTAGCTAGCCTTGGGGTGTTTATGGTTGGTCTCCTTACAACAGTTATTCATTCATTACCTTTAGGTTTGTATTGTGTTTACAAACCATCAAACCTGTATGATGTCAGACCTGTTGTACACAGCATACTGCTAGTGTTGTCAGCCACTGAGATTACATTGGAAAGTTCTGTGTGTTAGCTAGTGTTCCCAGACTGCCCTTCTAGGAATATGACCTAGCATCAAATTCCCTTTGTGATGAATGTGAGAGAGAATAAAGTGTCATTACATATAAATTGTTCTGAGTTGGATATTGATTGGTTATTAAGACCATTATTTTGTCTCCGCTGATCTATCAGGCTGTATTGTACGCCCTCTTCTGGCTGCTGGTGGTAGTCCACTCTACTGAATATGCTGCTGACATAAGCTAGATATGACGTTTGTGATTCTGTTAACATGTTACAATGTGAACATATGTCTGATCCTCTCCCACATTGTTCTGATATTATCTCTGATATTCTCTCAATATGATATAGAGATTACATTTGGCTACGGCATATGTTGCGACTAACTCAGCATCGTAGTGTGGTTGCTTTTTGAGTGTAAAAGCTGTGTTTGTTATAATATTGTTATAAAGTTGTTATAGTTAACATAATAGGTTTTATCCTTGCTCTCTGCGCTAGGAGATTATCTCTATTTAAAAATATATATTTATTCCGTCCATTGCACTCATAGTCTGTGTGTCTCCATGTGCAGTCAGACCTTTGTCCTCAGTATTGCCATCATGTCTCTGTTACTAGACAAGCCAGTTCCTCATCCATCCACTGTTCTGCTCTCAGGACCACAGATTGTATTGACATATGAGCCGTGTCCCTCTAGTACTGTATCTCGCTGGGTCACCCTGGTAACATATGCCTCTGCATGTGAAGCACTGCATGGATCACACTCACCACACTTGGTGTCTGTCACCACAACACTCACCTCTTTCACACTGGTGGTCACCCCTATCTCTGTCTGCAAGAAGCAGATACTTAAACAACCAAGCAACACATGACATATTGTCATCACAGAAGTGTGTCTTTCCTAAATGTCAACAGATTGTCCTTTCGTCACATTTATATAAGAAGCAGGTGTTAGACAGTTCTACTTCAGTCCCCACTCCCCAGTATTCTCCCAGCATCTCTTTCTCTTAGCTAGCCAGCGCTTCCCTTCGGCCTCGTATTCCTGATTGGTGCTCTTCTGTGACCTTTAGACATATTGGCTTATGTGGTGGTTGCTAAGCGCTGATTGGCATAACCTAAGTGACACAATCATGAGTCCTCAATCACTGCTTTCTGGAAGCTGGACCATGACTCACTTAATCCTCCCACCCTCCCTCCCTCCCACCCTCCCTCCCTTCTTCCTGATATCCACCCCCTCTACCTCTTTCTCAACCTCCTCTATGTGGATGTTCACCCCCTGCCTCCCATTCCTCCCCTTTCCTTTCTGGTCCCCCTTCCTCCCTCCTCCAACAGAACAATGACAACGAGACCCCCCTCCACTGTGCCGCCCAGTACGGCCACACCCAGGTGGTGCGTCTGCTGCTAGAGGAGCTGACCGACCCCACCATGAGGAACAACAAGTTTGAGACGCCGCTGGACCTGGCGGCGCTCTACGGCCGGCTAGAGGTGGTCAAGCTGCTGCTCACCGCCCACCCCAACCTGCTCAGCTGCAACACCAAGAAACACACGCCGCTGCACCTGGCGTCACGCAACGGACACCTGGCCGTGGTGGAGGTACTGCTGGACGCTGGCATGGACATAAACTACGAGGTGAGGACTGCGGAGAACACTGGGTCTGTTGTGTCTCCTGCATGCTTAATGATCAGTTGGTGTGAGAGTGTAGTTGTGTGGATATATAGAGACTGAATGTGTCCATAATGTTATTTTGTGTACACACCATGTGGTATGATTTGATAGTCTGTTTGCAGCATTTAGGCCTACACACTCATAGGCTTTTGACTCAAACCTCTTGAGCTCTTTATTTAGGCTACAGAGACAGTGTTAAAGGGGGCTTTTGGCCCTCTCCCATCCTTATACCAGACTATGCCATCCATTTGTCGTGTCCTACCTCTTCTCATCTCTGCTCTGTAGCAGGTCTGGGCCACCAAGAATCATTCAGGTCCTGCTTCCTGCAGGTTTCCTTTAGCATGGCGCTATGAGCTGGAAAATGATCTGCTTTGATTCCTCAATCAAATAATTCTCCATAGCAAAACACACAGGGGTGGTGGCCGGCAGGGTATAAATAACCAAAAGCCAAACTTCTATTTCACGCTGATCAAACCTGTTCTGTTTGTTCAGGAAGTATCCTGCTGGTTTAGCCTTAAGCTGTATGTCCTAGCTGACCAATATGAGAGGAGTGGAATCAGAATCAAAGCATTGTGGCGGTCTAGATAGCAGGTCTTCACCTGTTCCTCTCAGCAGGGAGGGTTCGGGTTAGAGATCTGACCTCTGCTGTGGTGTATGTTGCTGGCCGGGAGTCTACTTTGGTGTCTCTACATGTTTTGTTATTGCTCAGCATCAGCACTGTTTTGATTATGGTGTGTTTGTTGTCTCTCTGCAGACGGAGAAGGGCAGTGCCCTCCATGAAGCAGCTCTCTTTGGGAAGACTGACGTGGTGCAGAAACTTCTGAGGGCAGGTCAGACACTGATGCCTCCATTTAGTCAACATGCTTATAAGATACAACACAACACGTTTATATCCACTGAATAATGCAGAAATAACCCCCTGCTCGTCTGTCTCTCCTCCCCTAATCCCCTGCTCTGTCCTCTGTGTCTCCTCCCTCTCTCCTCCCTGGCCGTCCTGCTCCAGGGGTTAATGTGAACATGGTGGACAACAAGGGCCTGACTGCGCTGGACACTGTCAGAGAGATGCCCTCTCAGAAGAGCCGGCAGATAGCAGCTCTAATCCGTGGTAAGAAATACAGAGATCAATGGTTCCCTATGGGATTATAAAGAAAGATGACCTCAAACTGATTTCAAAAAGTGTTTTATCTGACTAATGATATTATTACTTTTCTTCCTTATTTCTCTGCAGGTCATATGTCAGGAAATCCCCCTGTTTTAGACTTGCCTCCTCCCCCTCTCCCTCCGCCTAATGAGAGCCCTGGTCCGAGGAAAAAAGGTATGTCATATCTATACAGAAAACCTCAAGTTATGTGAGCTGTTTGAGGATATGGTGTTAACATGTAACCACCAGCCAAGGATGTCTACCTGTGTGATGCTGTGAATGTTCACCTGTAGAAGAATGTGTATCAATATGTGTGTTAAAATGTGTGTGTGTGTGTTGTAGGTGAGATGGAGGTGGTGAGTGAGCTGCTCTCGGGGCTGGCCCCGGGGCCTGAGGAGGAGAGCCCGTATGAGGCTCTGTTTGAGGCCACCTCCTGTCACTCTCTAGACAGCCTGGCCAGCGGGAAGTCCTCCGACAGGGACTCTGGACGGCCTGACAGTGAAGCCGGAAAGGTTGGTTGGAACTCTGCCTTCCACCACAGAAACGCACAACATGTGACTCAAGAGGTTTGCGTGGCTGGGCATCTAAAATATTTGTTCTCCACTAGAGGGCAATAGTTCTCTGCATTTAATTGTTGTTGAGTGGACTGGATTTCGAAATTATGACAGCATATCTCTTTAACACTAGAAAAGCCTGGGACAATGACGAGTCTTTTGGACGTCAACATTCTAACAGTCTAATAAATACATTTCATATAATCATTTGGTTGTGTTTATGAAGGTCTTAGGTAACATTACACTACGAAAGAAAATGTGTTTCAAAGAACACAGTAGCATTTTCATTAGTTTATGTAACTGTAGGCTATATGTACAAATGAAAAACCACTAAAACACCACAATTCAAGTGTTAAAATCCATTAAATAAAAATTATCAGAAAGAAAATGCATTATTAATTTGTTAAGGGCAAGTCTTAAGGAACATTATGAAACTAAGATAATGCATTTCAAAAGAACAGAATGGCATATTTAGAGATTAAATATATTACTGCGCTTTGAATGTTGCATGTACAAAAAGGCCCGAGGGCTTTTCACGCACAACAGTGTCTAGGCTTTACTGAGAATGGTGCGACAAACAAAAAAACATACAGTCAGCGGCATTCCTGTGTGTAAAAACAGCTTGTTGATGGGAGAGGTCAAAGGAGAATGGCAAAAATCGTGCAAGCTAACAGGCGGACAACAAACAGATAAATAACGGTGCAGTACAACAGTGGTGCGCAGAACTGCATCTCGGAACGCACAACTCGTCGATCCTTGTCACGGATGGTCTATTGCAGCAGACGACCACACCGGGTTCCACTCCTATCAGCTAAAATCAAGAAGAAGTGGCTCCAGTGGGCATGTGATCACCAACACTGGACAATTGAGGAGTGGAAAAACATCACCTGGAACATGACAGCGAGCTCAGTTTACTTGAGTGGCCTGCTTATTCCCCAGACCTCAACCCAATAGAACATCTTTGGGATGAGATGGAACGGCCTGTTCACAGCATGAACCCCCATCCAATCTGCAGCAACTGCGTAATGCCATCGCGTCAGCATGGAGGCAAAGGGGGGTCCGACCCGGTACTAGATGGGTGTACCCGATAAACTGGCTGGTGAGTATAGTTTAGGTGTAGTTTTGATGGGCCATTATCAGCTGTGCAGGCTGACTGCCAGTGAATGAGGGCAGGCAAAAAAAAAACAGACAACTGTTTATAACACATTCTGCTTGTGATATTAAGATTAAAAAAATTACGGTGTGTTATATAGACTTATTTAGGAAAAGTCAAGGACGTGGGCGGCGGGGGGGGGACATTACAAAAATGGAATGTATAATTAAAAATGTACATTCGTTTTGCGTCCACATGATGCGCTCTCAGCTTTTCTAGTGTTAAAGCAAAAATCTATGTTTGAATTCAAGGCTCCAGTTCAGCCGACCTCCTACTTCAAGATATGTGTCAACCGAATGTCTGAGCACAGTCTAAGCACAATCAGTGATTTCGTTCTCTGTTTGTCAATTACAGAAAGACCGGCTGGCTCACCAATCCCAACCTGCCCCAGGCCATGAAGAGGAGCTTAGCTCAGAGGTCAGTATATATGGTAATTAAAGCTCCTTTTTGAAGGACTATGTTGCAATGGTTGGGTTAAATGCAGAAGACGCATTTGGTTGAATGCATTCAGTTGTGCAACTGACTAGGTATCCTCCTTTCCCTTTCCTTTCCGTAACTTTTGGCCAAAGCAATCAATTAGTTCCTGCTAGTTTTGTGTGTGAGGAACGAGCTAAGGACTGTGTAGATAACCTTAGGATCTAGTACAACCCTGAGAGAGCACTGTGGAGTGATTTATCTCACTGTAGGAGTCCTCAGCATCACAGGACAGTCTGAGATTAATGCTACACAAGCCTAACAGAGGTGGTATGGGTGTTCTGTACTATGTTGACCCTGTCTCCCCTCTCTCCCTCACAGGCCCTATACACTAACAGCAGCATCGATGAGAGGGGGGAGACAGCGGAGGAGGATCACACGTATGAACTGCTGCTGTCTGCCCAGACCAAAGTCTCCCAGTCTGCGCTGGACGCCCCATCCCAGAAAGGTACAACACCCTTACAGGGAGGACAAGGGGTGTAGAAAGTGGTTTGGATTGGATCAAGGATGATATTCAAATCCCTTCATGGTTCCTGATTGATGGAAAATGATGTGCGATAAAACATTGCTCCTTCAACCTGAGGAATAAGGAGCACTTGCAACCTCTCCCCCGCTCCACCCACATGCCCCCCTCCCTGGTGCTTTGTAAAGTGTGACCCTTCATTCCTAGCAGCATTACACCAGGGATGGAATGGAGCAAGGGTCAGTTTCCCAACCACTCCCTAAACCCCTCCTGCTTCCACTCTGGTAGTAACCCTTTACCTGAAATACAGCTAAGGTTTAACCTCAACACCATCAGTAGAAGAGAGCTTGGAATATGCTAATGTAGGATATCCTACTCAGGATGGTCCATGCTGTATCAGAGGACTCATTTCTTAGCTTTGGCTTTTGAATGACACTGCGTTTCATTGGATTAAATGGGATTGAATTAACAGCCCATTGGAGTCCCTGTCTGTTGATATAGATGTTTTTAAACAGTCCCCCAGGCTTTCTGTTCTGTCACATTCCTAATAAATGAATGGTGTGTCACTAAACAGTGTCATAGGAATGAATGTGGAGAGTCTGATTGCTGATGTAATCACTTCCCCTTTTACTAGATGACGTCCAGTCCTTGACTTGCATTCCTCCATAATGTTGTTAAGATGTTTAATGGGTTGGTTTGAGGAAGTCTTTGCTGGCTGCTTAATTGTCTGCTCTTCTCACTGTTTTAAGTGTCTGTCTGAGTGTCTGTCTGGCCATTGTCTCCAATACTACCCATAATAATTATAAAATAATTGGTCATTTAGCAGGCGCTCTTATCCAGAGCGACTTACAGGAGCAAATAGGGTTAAGTGCCTTGCTCAAGGGCACATCTACAGATTTTTCACCTAGTCGGCTCGGGGATTAGAACCAGCGACCTTTCGGTTACTGGCACAATGCTCTTAACCACTAAGCTACCTGCCGCCCCATAATACCATATGCATAAAACATGAGCTTTATTATACTTCCCTTTCCAATTCACTTTGCATAATATCATCCCTGGAAGTCTTGAGATAAACTAAACTAAATTGAATAGAAATTAAATATGATAATTTTACTACCTTACTCATGATGACCTAACTAACTGCTGTCTATCCTGTCTCTCCAGATGGGAACGCTACAGCCCAACAGTCTTCCAACAATCTCCTACCTCAGGTATGACCTGCATCTCCTCTCCTTTCCTCCTCTCATCCCTACATCTCTCCCCTCATCCTTCCCCTCATCCCTCCACTCATCCCTCCATCTCTCCCCTCATCCCTCCATCTCTCCCCTCATCCCTCTATCTCTCCCCTCCATCCCTCCCCTCATCCTTCCCCTCATCCCTCCATCTCTCCACTCCATCTCTCCCCTCATCCCTCCATCTCTCCCCTCATCTCTCCCCTCATCCCTCCATCTCTCCCCTCATCGCTCCCCTCATCCCTCCATCTCTCCCCTCATCCCTCCATCTCTCCCCTCATCTCTTCATCTCTCCCCTCATCCCTCCATCTCTCCCCTCATCTCTCCATCTCTCCCCTCATCTCTCCATCTCTCCCTCATCCCTCCCATCTCTCTCTCTCTCCTCCTCTCTCCCTCCTCTCTCCCCTCCATCCCTCCTCTCTCCCCTCATCGCTCCCCTCATCCTCCCATCCTCTCTCCCTCATCTCTCCCTCTCATCCCCTCATCCTCATCTCCCTCATCCCTCCATCCCCTCCTCCTCTCCCCTCATCCCCTCTCCCTCATCCCTCTCTCCTCCATCTCTCCCCTCATCTCTCTCCCCTCATCCTCCATCTCTCCTCTCCTCACTCCCCTCATCCCTCCATTCTCCCCTCCCATCCCTCCTTCTCCCCTCATCCTCCATCTCTCCCCTCTCCTCCCTCTCCCCTCTCATCTCTCCTCCTCCTCATCTCATCTCTCCCCTCATTCCCCCACTCATCCTCCCCTCATCCCTCCTCCCATCCCCTCATCCCCATCCCTCCCTCTCCCTCCATCCCCTCTCTCCCCTCATCGCTCCCCCTCATCCTCCATCTCTCCCCCCTCATCCCTCCATCTCCATCTCTCCCCTCATCCCACTCTCCCTCATCCTCCATCTCTCCCCTCATCCCTCCATCTCTCCCCTCATCCCTCCATCTCTCCCCCATCCTCCATCTCTCCCCTCATCCCTCCATCTCTCCCCTCATCCCCTCCCCCATCCTCCTCCCCCTCATCCTCCATCTCTCCCCTCATCCCCTTCATCTCCCCCTCATCCCTCCATCTCCCCTCATCTCTCCCTCCATCCCTCCATCTCTCCCCTCATCCCTCCCCTCATCCCTCCATCTCTCCCCTCATCCCTCCATCTCTCCCCTCATCTCTCCATCTCTCCCCTCATCCCTTCATCTCTCCCCTCATCCCTCCATCTCTCCCCTCATCTCTCCCTTCATCCCTCCATGTCTGCCATGCTGCCTGACATCTGACTTACTGTAGAGTGACATTTCAGCAGCAGGCTCTACCTTGCCTGTGCTCTGGAACGCTGTGTGATGAATAAGAAGTTATTTACCGCTAGTAGCTACATATCAGGGTGGCAGGTAACCTAGCGGTTAGAGCGTTGGGCCAGTAACAGAAAAGCTGATAAGGTGAAAAATATGCCAATGTGCCCTTGAGCAAGGCACTTAACCCTAATTGATAATGGCAGACCCTGGCCGTGAACCCACACTCCAAGGGTGTCTCAGGGAGTGTGGGATATGCAAAAAACACATTTCCATTTCACACGTGTGAAATAGGACAAATATAAGCACCCACCAAATGATAATTATATTTTCTCCTGTGTCACACACTGCTTGCACAGTGAAAGACATTGACAAAGGGCAACAAAAAAGGTCCCTGGGTTCCTCCACGTTCTGCTTTGACATGGAAATCGAACCATGAGGTCAGACCTTTTTCCCTAAACATGTATTTTTCCACCATGGTACTCCTCCACCATGGTACTGCTCCACCATGGTACTGCTCCACCATGGTACTGCTCCACCATGGTACTGCTCCACCATGGTACTGCTCCACCATGGTACTGCTCCACCATGCGAGGATAAATATCTTACATACAGGTACTTCATCAGGAAATATGGCTCCCTGACTGAGGTCCTCTGTGTCTCTGTTTAGTGACTCTGTAGCCAACCCTGGCCACCGGGACTCCTGGAGATTTACAGCCTCTCCCCTCACTCCAACTCTCTCTCCTCTACATCTCTTTTAATTCCCTCTCTCCTATCCCTGTCTCATCGAATGTAACTGGAGGGCCCTATAAAGCTGTCATTTCTATTTATTATCCTATCATATCTATTTATACTGCCTTTTCATTTTTATTATACAGTTAGCTGCCACAGGGTTTTATTTGCGTTGCTCTCCCCTCTCCTCCCATAATCTCATCTCACATCTGTTTTTTTTCTGAGGTTCTTATTTGGAGCAACTGTCCCTTTGCTGCCTAATGTTTTATTTTAAATGAGTCTCTGTGTGGCTGGCTGGCTGACTGGCCGGCTGGCTGGCTCGCTGACTGGCTGGCTGGCTGGCTGACTGGCATCCTCTGTGTTCTAATCAGCAGCCAGCCATCTGAGGCTATCATCCATATTAGGAATGATGATGCACGGCAACGTGGAAGCAATCACTGGGACGCTTTCTTAATTTAATATCATAGTGTGGGGCTAAATTAATCATCTGCTATGCTGTGAGTGTGGTGGTGGTTTTAGTTGGGATTGACAGCTGTTAGTGTGCTCATCTCTCCCCTGGTCTCCTCCAGCAGCAGAAGCCCACTGCCCCTAGTGACCTCAGACCACCAGGCGAGACGGGCGACACCCTGAAGCCCCCTGGACCTCCTTTGGTTGGGCCTGGACGGACAGGCCTCCGCCCCACTGGTGGTGAGTTACACCATCCACATGCTGTATCTTCTGGATGGCAGTCCCTGCTGGGGGAGCTTTGTTTGTTTCTAAGCTCCACGTTGACCATAGATGCAGTAAAGTGCAATGTTCCCTCTAAGCTGCACGGGTACGCAGCTCCCACGGGACTGCCAAGCAGAAGAAATATCAGCCCACGCAGAGAAGCACGAGATTGAACTTTAATTAACTTCCTAGTTTTCCCATTTAGTTAACACTATCATCGTTTCCCTCTACTGTGGGTATTGCCAACATTAGCCACTTTCAATGCAACATACCGAAACAAAACGGACTATTAAAGACTTAGTATGCAAAACTAACTATGCAAGAGATTTTCTTGTATGCAGAACGCACCGGAGTAGGATTCTATTGCATTGAGAGGCAAGACTCAGCCCATTCTCTACAGACCAGTGTGGCATAAACAATCAGAGCTGCAGTATCCCTATATGCAAGTAGACCATTGCCATATATGGACTGTGTTTACAGCATGAGTGGTGGCGATTAGATGCGTTTGTTTTGAGATCAAAGCGAGAGCTGCGTGTAGCCACATGTAATTGAGTTATTAGCCCAGTTATAGCTAATTTCTAGTCAGCAATGGGGGAGTGGTTGCTTCCTACAAGAGCACAACATGTGTGCATTTCTAGCCATCTTTGAAAAGAAAGTCAGGTAAAGAGCATTTGTTTTCTGTCTTAAAGGGGCAGTGTTATATTTTGAGACAGGCTTGAGTAAGCGAAGTAGCCAATAGGCAGAGGGTAGCAATTTGTCTGATTCTCTGTAATAATGGTATGGTAATAATAATTAACCTTATTTTGTGAAGTGTTTTCTTGCATCAAACAACACATTTTCAGCCACATCGTTGTCTGAAGAACAAGTGGATAAACAGGTTAATGTCAAGCCCAGAATATTTTTTTCAAAAGTCTCACGGAATGTAGGCCTACATTGAACACCACACATTGGCTGCTACTGTAGGCTGAATGATAGAACAGCTATTTCCATGTAAAAATATTATGGGATGCCTTTTCTCCGTTGTTTTTGATGGTAGGCCACTATGATAGGCCTACATTATGATCAAATAGTCACAGTAGCCTACTTGGCCACTGTTATAAGTGTAACTTAAAGCGGGTACAGCCTAACTGTTCACAATAAACGCGAGCCAGAGGTTGCACAGAATTTTCACAATGTTCAAGTTTGAGCTCAGCAGACCTGAAATTTGCTCAGTGCTTGAAAAAATGTAAGGGAACATTAGTAAAGCAGACAATGGAACTCAACCAAAACCACAGAAATGCATTGGAAACGTGCGGGGGAAAGATGCCGTTAGGGAAAGATCCCGAATCTCCTCATTGCCACCCAGCAAAATTATCCTACATTTAGTCTGTTGTTTATATGTGTATTTCACACTGTTCAGGTAAAAATCAGAGTATAATATATGGATGCCAACCCCAATACATGTTCATGTCATTGTCACCAATAAACTGCATTACAGTTAAAAACGACTTTGACTACCACCACTGATTTCGCTAAGGCTATCAGCTTATACGAACACGTGTTAGCATTTCGCAGTCACTTCTTCTAAACCTCAAAAGGGACAACTTCTAAATGTTATGCAGCGAAACAGCCTAATATATCCAAATGGGACTTTAGAAACCACATTGTGGGTCTGTTACAATACATCAATCATGACGGATTTGACGAACATCCTTTTTGTTAGATCAGATTTGTTAAATGTGCTCCAATCCAACAACCTTCTATCCCCCATGGTCCCCGATTTCTCACTGCTATACTCTAGTTACAGCTACCGGGTCATGAGCAACTCTATGCTCTTCTCTGACTCTGAGGAGCCAAAGGAGAGAGGCAATTTGCTTGAGGAACTTGGCCAAACATAACCCATGTATGTCACTGTAACTGTAATGTAAGAAATACATTAGCATCTGACTGCAGAGTGAGATTGGTAGGGTTGGATTAGTGCTGCCTGGGAATGTATGATTGGCATTCCAGAGGCACAGCAGCTCCGGGTCTGGATTAGGATTGTTTAGATCAGGCTGAATTACATTCTCTGGCAAGCCAGCTGAAGAAAACTAATTGGGTTTGTCACATGGAACAGAATTCTTGATCAGATTTGACCATACACTGTGTTCCTATCTAAGAACCCCAAGCCTACTTACAGTAATACAGTACTAGAAATGCAACATAGCACACTTTGTGCATTGGTTGGAGATGGGACAATTTATATCTCATCCCCTTCCCTCTTGCTGTCTAGTTCTTTGTTTATCTTGCTACGTTCGCCGGTTCTCTCATACGAACACCATAGAAGACGCATGCATATCCAAGCAGGGCATAATCATGCAGACAACACAGACGCATAGCGACACGTAGCTAAGCATGCTGTGTCTGTGATAGAGATGTTTGTGGACTGTGTCTGTGATAGAGATGTGTGCTGTTTGGGGACTGTGTCTGTGATGGAGATGTGTGCTGTTTGGGGACTGTGTCTGTGATAGAGATGTGTGCTGTTTGGGGACTGTGTCTGTGATTGAGATGTGTGCTGTTTGGGGACTGTGTCTGTGATGGAGATGTGTGCTGTTTGGGGACTGTGTCTGTGATGGAGATGTGTGCTGTTTGGGGACTGTGTCTGTGATGGAGATGTGTGCTGTTTGGGGACTGTGTCTGTGATAGAGATGTGTGCTGTTTGGGGGCTGTGTCTGTGATATAGATGTGTGCTGTTTGGGGACTGTGTCTGTGATAGAGATGTGTGCTGTTTGGGGACTGTGTCTGTGATAGAGATGTGTGCTGTTTGGGGACTGTGTCTGTGATGGAGATGTGTGCTGTTTGGGGACTGTGTCTGTGATAGAGATGTGTGCTGTTTGGGGACTGTCTGTGATAGAGATGTGTGCTGTTTGGGGACTGTGTCTGTGATAGAGATGTGTGCTGTTTGGGGACTGTGTCTGTGATGGAGATGTGTGCTGTTTGGGGACTGTGTCTGTGATAGAGATGTGTGCTGTTTGGGGACTGTCTGTGATAGAGATGTGTGCTGTTTGGGGACTGTATCTGATAGAGATGTGTGCTGTTTGGGGACTCTAATAGAAACAGGTGGGCCCAGTCCCTCCCCATTACCATCTGAAAGCAGCTGCCTCTCAGGGATTGGGATTAGGGCCCTGCTCACACTCCCTGCTACTGCCCCCGCCCCGTCACATCTCTCCCCCTCCCCATCGAGGCTGTGTGTGTGTGTGTGATGGAGACATGCCCTGTCAGCAGCAGCAGCAGAGAGGGAGCAGAGCACCTGTCACACACATTCTGCCTTCCTCAGCAGGAAGGAATCACAGAGGATGCCCAACAGATTCCACATGCCTCCTGTTTCACAGGCATCTAACCACACATAGTGCACTACTCTCACCCACGGAGTAAATTGGGTGCTGAAGAGATTTCACATACTGAATAGTGATAAAGTTATCTGCCATAGACATAATATCTTCTGACTATCAGGTTATGTGGCCTTGGCCAGAGTGAACCCATACAGGAGAGGCTAGCATCACTAGATAGATGATAGCCTGCTAAATTCTCAGGGCATATCTATTTGCTAGCTTGACTGTAGTGAGAACCACAGCGGTGTTTAGTGGTTTCTGCCTGCTGTGGGGACCTGTGGAGAGTGCAGCACACTGCCCATCCTGGCCTTGCACTTGGCCAATAGTGAATGATTAGAATTGGGATGTTCTCCAGCACCCAAACAGACGAATCAATGTGTGTGTCAGTTTAACATCAAATCAAATCCAATTTTATTGGTCACATACACATGTTTAGCAGATGGTATTGTGGGTGTAGCGAAATGCTTGTGTTTCTAGCTCCAACAGTGCAGTAGTATCTAACAAATCACAACAATACACATAATACACACAATCTAAAAGTAAAAGAATGGAATTAAGAAATATATCAATATTAGGACGAGCAATGTCAGAGTGGCATAGACTAAAATACAGTAGAATAGAATACAGTATATACATATGAGATGAGTAAAGCAGAAATATTTAAACATTATTAAAGTGACTAGTGTTCCATTATTAATGTGGCCAGTGATTTCATGTCTATGTACATAGGGCAGCAGCCTCTAAGGTGCAGGGTTACGTAACCGGGTGGAAGCCGCCTAGTGATGGCCATTTAACAGTCTGATGGCCTTGAGATAGAAGCTGTTTTTCAGTCTCTCGGTCCCAGCTTTGATGCACCTGTACTGACTTCGCCTTCTGGATGATAGCGGGGTGAACAGGCAGTGGCTCGGGTGGTTGTTGTCCTTGTGGTTGTTGTCCTTGATGATCTATTTGGCCTTCCGGTGACATCGGCTGCTGTAGGTGTCCTGGAGGGCAGGTAGTTTGCCCCCGGTGATGTGTTGGGCAGACCACACCATCCTCTGGAGAGCCCTGCGGTTACGGGCGGTGCAGTTGCCGTACCAGGCGGTGATACAGCCGGTCAGGATGCCCTCAATTGTGCATCTCTAAAAGTTTGAGGGTTTTAGGTGCCAAGCCAAATTTCTTCAGCCTCCTGAGGTTGAAGAGGCGCTGTTGCACCTTCTTCACCACACTGTCTGCGTGGGTGGACCATTTCAGATCGTCAGTGATGTGTACACCGAGTAACTTGAAGCTTTCCACCTTCTCCACTGCGGTCCCGTCGATGTGGAAAGGGGCGGCGTGCTCCCTCTGCTGTTTCCTGAAGTCCACGATCAGCTCCTTTGTTTTGTTGACGTTGAATGAGAGATTATTTTCCTGGCACCACACTCCCAGGGCCCTCACCTCCTCCCTGTAGGCTGTCTTGTCATTGTTGGTAATCAGGCCTACTACTGTTGTGTGTCTGAAAACTTGATGATTGTGTTGGAGGCGTGCGTGGCCACGCAGTCATGGGTGAACAGGGAGTACAGGAGGGGGCTGAGCACGCACCCTTGTGGGGCCCCATTGTTGAGGATCAGCGAAATGGTGTTGTTTCCTAACTTCACTACCTGGGGGCGGCCCGTCAGGAAGTCCAGGACCCAGTTGCACAGGGCGGGGTTCAGACCCAGAGCTTAATGATGAGCTCCGAGAGTACTATGGTGTTGAATGCTGAGCTATAGTCAATGAACAGCATTCTTACATAGGTATTCCTCTTGTCCAGATGGGATAGGGCAGTGTGCAGTGTGATGGCGATTGCGTTGTCTGTGGATCTATTGGGGCGGTAAGCAAATTGAAGTGGGTCTAGGGTGTCAGGTAAGGTAGAGGTGATATGATCCTTAACTAGCCTCTCAACAATGTCCATTACAAAGTGCTGTCCTTCTCAGTCTCTATTACATTTACATTTACGTCATTTAGCAGAGCGACTTACAAATTGGTGCATTCACCTTATAGCCAGTGGGATAAGCACTTTACAAAGTTTTTTATTTTATTTTTGGGGGGGGGGTAGAATGATTACTTTATCCTATCCCAGGTATTCCTTAAAGAGGTGGGGTTTCAAATGTTTCCGGAAGGTGGTGAGTGACTCCGCTGTCCTGGCGTCGTGAGGGAGCTTGTTCCACCATTGGGGTGCCAGAGCAGCGAACAGTTTTGACTGGGCTGAGCGGGAACTGTGCTTCCGCAGAGGTAGGGGAGCCAGCAGACCAGAGGTGGATGAACGCAATGCCCTCATTTGGGTGTAGGGACTGATCAGAGCCTGAAGGTACGGAGGTGCCGTTCCCCTCACAGCTCCGTAGGCAAGCACCATGGTCTTGTAGCAGATGCGAGCTTCAACTGGAAGCCAGTGGAGTGTGCGGAGGAGCGGGGTGACGTGAGAGAACTTGGGAAGGTTGAACACCAGACGGGCTGCGGCATTCTGGATGAGTTGTAGGGGTTTAATGGCACAGGCAGGGAGCCCAGCCAACAGCGAGTTGCAGTAATCCAGACGGGAGATGACAAGTGCCTGGATTAGGACCTGTGCCGCTTCCTGTGTAAGGCAGGGTCGTACTCTCCGAATGTTGTAGAGCATGAACCTACAGGATCGGGTCACCGTCTTGATGTTAGCGGAGAACGACAGGGTGTTGTCCAGGGTCACGCCAAGGCTCTTCGCACTCTGGGAGGAGGACACAACGGAGTTGTCAACCGTGATGGCGAGATCATGGAACGGAATCTCTATCACATATACACACACATACATAAAGGTTCCCCACTAACAAATAACGTCAATTGAATAATTTTTACTTTTCCATTAAGATTGAGGTCAGAATATCAATAGTTTTGTGCCTGTAGTTTTACATTTAATTCTAACACATGACATACAGAGCTAAAAGTGCTCTCCAATCTGAGTACAGAAAAGCAATTTCCCCAGGGGCTGTAAATAAATTGGCCTACATACTGTCTCTCTGTGACATCAATACAGCATTAACTGTAGAATTAACTTGACATCACTTGTAAAACTCGCAGCTCACAAGGCCACCAAATGAAACACACACACACACACACACACACACACACACACACACACACACACACACACACACACGTTCTCTAACCAGTGACCTCATCCCTCCATAAAAGCAGTGTAAATATCCGTATGTCTCTCATTGGGGTTACTGACTGTCTCAAAGTGTTTCCAGCCCCAGTTGAATCATGGTTGTAGTAGACTGGGTCCAGGACGTTCAGGAAAGGGTTAACACACTGGGGGATTGTTGGATTCGCTCATCTCCAGCTGCCAAGGACAGGGTGGCTGTGGTCTCTCCATGTGTTTATACACACACACTGACACACATATCTTTCCAAATTGAGTAGCAGGCAGCTGAGTGTAGATGGGCACAGGGCGTTGGTACTCTGCCTCACTGCATATGGCCTGTAAGCTAAACAGTGCGTATAGCGCATAGTGTACCAGCTCCTAGTTGAACTGTATTTATCACTACCCAGCTGACATACAGGGTGGAGTAACTGTTACTGTTTCCCCTGGACAGATATGCATCTCTAATGGAGCTCTTTTTAGAGTTTAATATATCCTTTTGAGAGCTGTTTGAATGGTATTGGCAACCTTATGTCCTGTTGAGAGAGAGCTTAACTAAAGCTGTTTCTTCAGTAGAATGCTTGGTGTAACTGCAGTCTTTTTGTAGCTGTCCTCTGCTCTGAAGGACAAACTAATACACACAGAATGGGTCACTGCCCCGCAGTGACGTCACTGACACTGGCCCAGTTTCCCTGTCACCAAACACCACGACCCTCTCACCGGGTTGGCAGAGTGGCAATGAGAGCACGCGCACACACACACACATAAACAAAGCAGCACGGCACAGAACATCCCCCCTCCAACACACACACGTTAACCGTGTGTCAGACGCCTAATTATCCGGATTGTGGCTGAGAGAGACTGTTGAGTGGATGGAGTGATCCCAGAGTTTCCATCCTGGAGATGCAGTCAGCGGCTAGTGAGTCGGGACAGGCAGGCAGAGAGCTCACACAGCTACAGCTCTACATAGCTTCGGTTTACACAGCTCCGGCTCAGGGAGAAGTATTAGCAGGGAGGGACAGAGGGGGGAGCTTGCCAGGCAGAAGGGGAACAGAGGCACAACCTGGCTCAACTCTCATCCTGTGGTCGAAAAGCAGGCTTGGGTGTCAGTGTCTCCTTCGAGAGAGAGAGAGAGAGGGGGAGAGAAAGAGGGCCTGTTTTTGTGAGGGGAAAAGCGTATTGTTTTCAACTGGATCGGCTGTACAGAATCTGTAAGCAGGGATTGTTTTCATGCTGTAGCTCAAGGCGGAGGAAGTAAGTTTCTGTTTGTTCTCGTGTTTCTCTGTCTGTGTCTATATGTGTTTTATAGTGTGTGTGTGTGTGTGCGCGTGTGCACAGTTTGTGCAGTATGCTTGTTGTCTTTATCCTATCGGGTTTCTTCCTTTGCTGATTTCCTGTGGGGATTCCTCAGTGCTGTATCTTTTCTGTGGAACCTGACCTCATACAGGGGCTGCTGCTGGTTAGCTCATAGGGATTGAGACACACACAGAGACAGGCAGGGATGGAGGAGTGAAAAGAAACGGCAGAGCATTTAGTAATGTAACAAACTTCCAAACACCCAGAGAGATGGCTGCAAGCTGGGATTGGAATTCTCTGTCTTCCAGTGCTTCGGACAGCATTCTGTAGGTCCGTCTCTCTCTCCCTCTCTCTCTCTCTCCCTCTCTCTCTCTTTCCCTCTCTCATGCCCATTTGAAAACAATCACTGATCTGTTTCTGGGGCGGTGTTGCTAGATATCTCGTCTCAGTCTCAGTCCGGCCTCCTGCCTGCCCTGACGCACCACTCCCTGCTCCCTCTTCTTTAGTCTCTCCCCCTAACCCTCCTTGTCCCCTCTCTACTCTGCAGATAACTCCCTGCTCGGCCAGGACCTGGTCACAGTACCTGAAGTGTTCACAGGCCTCCTGCACGGATCCTCGCCTGTCTTTGACTGTCGGGAGGAGCCCCTCAGCAGGCTGCCAGGTGGAGTACTGGCACAGTCCAGCCAAGGCCAACAGCCGGCGCCAGCTCCAACGGTACCCACCAAAACAACAGAAACTCCGCCTCTGCCTCCTCCAAACATCAACATGGCTGCCATCCTGACAGACTGTGACCCCAAAGCCATCTATGCCACTGTGTACAAGGGGGTGCCCAGAGACAGAGACAGGGTGAGGGACTTTGGGTCTGGGGCTGTGCCTGCTGGCAGGATGCGTCCCCCTGGGGACCTGAAGCTGGCCCGCAGCCTCTCCAAGTCGGACTCGGACCTGCTGGTATCGCCGCCTAGCGAGGAGGAGGGAGGGCTGGGCAGCCGGAGTGAGTCCGTCTCCAACTGCAGCGCAGCCAAGAAGCGGCTGGAGAAGTCTCCCTCTTTCACCTCTGAATGGGACGAGGTAAGACCCTTGCTTTACTGTTCCGTTGGTCTTATGTTATAATGTGGTTTTCTGTATTCATAGTTTATCCACTCACCTGGGTGAGTTCTCAGGGATGAGTTCTATACCATCGTCATATAGTGTTACAGGTGAAAGTACACTACATGGTCACATTATAGGCCTCCTCATGTAGCTGTTGTCTAGACTAGTAATCAAGGGGTTAAGCTGTACAGTAGAATGACATCATGGAGCGGAGAGACTCAGGAACATTAGGCATGCATGAGTGAGATCCACACACACCCCTCTCTTTAGCCAAGTTTTCTCCCTGTCAGGAAATCATTCATATCTGCAATTTTCTGCCCCTAAACTGTGTAATAACCCTGCTGAAATGAACCCAACCTGGTCTATCACAGTAGTGAGAAGATAATATTCTTAATTTTATATATCAAGCCATTCGAGGGAGAGAGAGAGGGAGGGAGGGAGGGAGGAGGGAGAGAGGGAGGGAGGGAGGGAGGGAGGGAGGGAGGGAGGGAGGGAGGGAGAGAGAGGGAGGGAGGGAGGGAGAGAGAGGGAGGGAGAGAGGGAGGGAGGGAGGGAGGGAGAGAGAGAGAGAGGGAGGGAGAGAGAGGGAGAGAGGGAGAGAGAGAGGGAGGGAGAGAGGGAGGGAGAGAGGGAGGGAGAGGGAGGGAGAGAGGGAGGGGAGAGAGGGAGGGAGGGGAGAGAGGGAGGGAGAGGGAGAGAGGGAGGGAGAGAGAGAGGGAGGGAGAGAGAGGGAGGGAGAGAGAGAGGGAGGGAGAGAGGGAGGGAGAGAGGGAGAGAGGGAGGGAGGGAGAGAGAGAGAGAGGGAGGGAGAGAGGGAGGGAGAGAGGGAGGGAGGGAGGGAGGGGGAGAGAGGGAGGGAGGGAGAGAGGGAGAGAGAGCTTAAATCATCCCTCCGTTTAGTGATCCGCTATTTTAATGATTTGTCTGCAAACTGGTGGTGTAATGACTCCATTCCCCTATTATGTCTGTGGCAGAATGAGCCATGATGCATTCATTTGTGATGGCAAGCAGAGAGTGTCAGCCAGGGGCTCAAGTAACAGGCTGTCCATAGTGACCAGATCATGTTGCTCTGCTGTAAGTCGGTGTACACAACCCTATACCAACAGGCACTGGGACTCGTGATAACCGGAGAGATGGGGGTCGATATCTTTATTTCTCATCTCTGTGGTTAGTATGCAGGTGGCCAGAGCAGAGCCTGCCTGTGTGCCTAACCTTGAGTGTCCTACACAGCAGTATGCTTTTAGATGACTCTCCCTGACCTCTCCAAGAGGGGTGGTGGAGCAGGAGAGAATTGTGTTTTTGTTCCATCAGCCAAAATAATTGATAATCAACCCCGAGTAGAACCATTTGTGTCCCACCTTCACCTCAGCTGAGAGGAATGATAACAAGAGCTAGGCTATGGCTGTATCCAAATTAGCACCTTATTCCCTATATAATGCAATACTTTTGGCCAACGCTCTGTAAAGGCCTAGGGAATAGGGGTGTCATTTCGGACACACAACTCAGACTCAGCCCCAGTAGTATAGTTGTGATACACAAAGGTAGAAAAATGCAATATCCTCCTTTGCATGTTTGGGTATTATTCTATACATTCACTATTATTCTAATGAGCCCCCCCCCCCCCCCAAACATGACCAAATTTTGTTGGTCCAGACCGCACCAAATCTGTAAGAATCATAGATGTCTGTTTCACAAGTTTGGACATTACAGTAGAGTACAGCAAAGCACAGTAGAGTATAGTTCAGAACACTACAATACAGTAAATTGCTGTACTGTACTCTAGTGTGCTCTACTGTACTATACTCTACTCTATTGTACAGTACTATATTGTACTGACAAACTCTACTTTACTGTACTGTGCTGTCCAAACATGTGAAACAGCAGACGTCTTATGATTGGTTCAGATTTGGACTGACCAAATTTGAACTACTTTTCAACGTCCGTGGACGTCCGGTGTCGGTTGGTGCTCAGTGGGTGAGAGGGCTGGTTACAGTAAATGGAAAAAGAAGGGTCTCATGGGTAGGTGTCAGTAAGAGCCAGGAGAGGTGACATTAACTGGAGAGAGAGAGAAGTGAGACAAGGAGAGGGAGGGGTTGTCCAGACTGTTTTTACACTCTTGCGTTGACCACCATGCAACAAAGAAAACAGTTGTGAGCTGAATATAACAGTATGTCAGTGGAAGGGAGGACAGTAGCAGGTGACACAACTGTGGTTTGTGACTACTGGGTCATTCCACCTCAAAAAGCACAAGAAAGAAGATTGACACCCACCATCTCAGATTGTTCTGAAGTAGTTTCTGTTTTTAGAAACATAAGATTAGCATTCCTGCAACATTTTGTTGAAATATAATTTGATCTCTGAGAAATTAAGCTAATTGATAGCACCCAAATTGGCCATTTCTAATTTATAGGATTTATATAATATTCAATAAATATAGTACCTAACACCCGATTTGGACCAAACTTTGTTTTGAACAATGATTTAGACTTGAGAAATCTAAAGATATGGTCAAACGCCACCCAGGGACACCCCATGCCAATACCACCCCAACAACAAGTATATAGTATCAGTTCTCTATGTCTGACAAGTAGTATGGAGCTGCGGCTCGGAGTATTGTTTGTTCGTCCTATGTAGGCTTAATGTGTAGAAGTAGTATTTGAAGTTGTTTAGGTTTATGTCTCATCCTGATATTATCCGGTTCTGACCACTAGATGGTGCTGCTTTAGCTGCTTTTATTGATAATGATTTTTTTAAAGGGATAGTTCACCCAAATTACAAAATGACATTGGTTTACCTTATCCTGTAAGCAATGGACAAGGTCAGACAGCAGCAGTCCAATGCTTTAGTTTTGTTGTCTACTGTTTCAGTTGCTAACCTTTTAGCATTTCTGTCACACATTTAATGCAAGTAGGGCCTCCTGTAGCTCAGTTGGTAGAGCATGGCGCTTGCAACGCCAGGGTTGTGGGTTCGATTCCCACGGGGGGCCAGTATGAAAAATGTATGCACTCACTAACTGTAAGTCGCTCTGGATAAGAGCGTCTGCTAAATGACTAAAATGTAAATGTAAATGTAAAATCTGATGACTGCTGTAGAGAGGAAGTAGAGGGACAGTCAGTGAGTGTGACACGCACCACCACTCAGGGAACTGAACCACAGATCATTATCTCGATTGCCTGTTTATTTGAGCCTTTGACGCCTCCCCTCAACACACTCACCTATTTTATACCTACAAAAGGCTATTAAATTCAATTCAAAGGGAATTTATTTATTTATATACAATTTATTGGCATGGGAAACATGTTTGTATTGTCAAAGCAAGTGGAATAGGAAATAAACAATCAAATTAACAGCAAACAGTTTCAAAAGAATAGAGACATTTAAAATGTTATATTACTGGCTATGTACAGTGTTGTAATAATGTGCAAATAGTTGAAGTACTCTGTGGTATTTCATCTAATACTCGGTACCGGTACCCCCTGTATATAGCCTCGCTATTGTTATTTTTTACTGCTGCTCTTTAATTATTTGTTACTTTTATTTCGTATTATTTTAAATTGTTATTTTTTTGTTATTTTTGGGGGGTTTTCTTTCTTAAAACTGCATTGTTGGTTAAGGGCTTGTAAGTAAGCATTTCACTGTAAGGTCTACACCTGTTGTATTTGGCGCATGTGACAAATACAATTTGATTTGATTTAATAAATATGGGAGTTAAGTCAAAGCTTTCCTTAATTTTGGGTCAGTCACGGTGGTCGGGTATTCTGCCACTGTGTACTCTCTGTTTAGGGCCAAATAGCATTCCAGTTTGCTTAGTTAAGTAATTATCTTTCAGTTTTCTCATGATTGGTTGGGTCTAATTGTGTTGCTGTCCTGGGGCTCTGTGGGGTCTGTTTGTGTTTGTGAACATAGCCCCAGGACCAGCTTGCTGAGGGAACTCTTCTCTAGGTTAATCTTTCTGTAGGTGATGGCTTTGTTATGGAAGGTTTGGGAATCGCAAATCTTTTATGTGGTTGTCTTTTCTGGATTTTGATCATTAGCGAGTATCGTCCCAATTCTGCTCAATTTGGTGTTTCTCCCATTTTGTGAATTCTTGGTTGGTGAGCGGACCCCAGACCTCACAACTGTAGAGGGCAATGGGTTATATAATTGATTCAAGTATTTTTAGCCAGATCCTAATTGGGATGTCGGATTTTCTGTTCCTTTTGATGGCGTAGGCCCTTCTTACCTTGTCTCTCATTCACAGCTTTGTGGAAGTTACCTGTGGCGCTGATGTTTAGGCCGAGGTAGGTATAGTTTTTTGTGTTCTCTAGGGCAACGGTGTCTAGATGGAATTTCTATTTGTGGTCCTGGCAACTGGACCTTTTTTGGAACACCATTAATTTTGAATTACTGAGATTCACTATCAGGGCCCAGGTCTGACAGAATCTGTGCAGAAGATCTAGGTGCTGCTGTAGGCCCTCCTTGTTTGGAGACTGAAGCACCAGATCATCAGCAAACAGTAGACATTTTACTTCAGATTCTAGTAGGGTGAGGCTGGGTGTCCGCAGACTGTTCTAATGCCCTCGCCAATTTGTTGATAGATACTGTATGTTGAAGAGGCTGGTGCTCAAGCTGCATCCCTGTCTCACCCCACGACACTGAGGAAAGAAATCTGTGTTTTTTGCCAATTTTAACCGCACACTTGTTATTTGTGTACATGGATTTTACAGCACGACTTTCCATCAGTGTATATAGCAGATCCTCATGCCAAATTGAGTCAAGCTTTTTTGAAATCAACAAAGCATGAGAATACTTTATTTTTATTTTTTGGGTTTGTTTATTTGTCAATTAGGGTGATAATGATAATGCAGAGGATTTTCCCAAGGTTGCTGTTGACGCATATCCCACGGTAGTTATTGGGGTTAAATTTGTCTCCACTTTTGTGGATTTGGGTGATCAGTCCTTGGTTCCAAATATTGGGGAAGATGCCAGAGCTGAGGATGATGTTAAAGAGTTTAAGTATAGCCAATTGGAATTTGGTCTGTATATTTTATTTCATTTAGGATACCATCAACAACACAGACCTTTTTGAGTTGGAGGGTTTGTATTTTGTCCTGTAGTTCATTCAATGTAATTGGAGAATCCAGTGGGTTCTGGTAGTCTTTTAATAGCTGATTCTAAGATTTCTGATTGATCATGTATACAGTTGAAGTCGGAAGTTTACATACACTTAGGTTGGAGTCATTAAAACTCGTTTTTCAACCACTCCACAAATGTCTTGTTAACAAACTATAGTTTTGGCAAGTCGGTTAGGACATCTACTTTGTGCATGACACAAGTAATTTTTCCAACAATTGTTTACAGACAGATTATT